TGTTCAATTGTGAAGACGACGAGCAGAACGTTTCCCAGGTCAAGGCTTTCAGACGTGACGACGTCGTTGGTGTCACGTTACAGTAAACGTAATATTATGGGCTGTTGGTGGGACAGAGGGCTCCAGGATGTTGTCATGTGCATTTTTCATCATGTGTCATTGACCAAGTGATAAACTGTGAAAATAACGGCTAATAAAAAGTCATTAGTTTAATTGGTAACGTAATGGTTTGTTTTCAGTTTCACATAAACACGTGTGTTTTCCCTGCTAGACGGTCGGGGGGCACAGCTTTTGGAGTATCGCTGGCTGCGATTGGAGGACGGAGCCAGCGATCAGCCGATCATGATGAAGCTGTTCTCCACGTCTCAGCCTGAAACCCACCGCAGGCTCCACCCACGTGAGACACGCAGTAGTGTGGTTTGCAGAAAACAGTGATCTCCATCAGGGAGCATCAACGAGCATGTCCCTCTCTGTGCACAGTGTCGGTGGTGGTCTGTACCCGACTGAAGCTGATCCAAGCTGCAGGTCAGACCGGGGTCGGCTGGTACCTGACCAATACAACATACACGCAGGTGTACTGCACAGGTAACACTGCTCCGTTACTCCCTGTGAGGTAGAAAGTCAGATGACACATCTGGATCATCCTTGGCAATGCACGTCATTGGTTGTCTGTCCTGTCTCCTCATTGGCCGACTGGCAGGACTGGGCCACCACTCAGCAATGAGCTACCGTAAGCCCCTATCTCTGTCACCATCTGTTATCTATGATGCTGAGCAGCCAGGATGAGGGACAGGTGCTGAGTCGGGCTCTGATTGGAGGATTCTTCATGTACCCGCCTCCTCCCGTGTCCTTGGAAACGTACATGAAAGACAGGAGAGGTCAGTTATCTCTGTCACCATCTGTTATCTATGATGCTCTTACAGAACAAAGTGTGCGTCTGGGTGTGTGCACGTCGTAACACTGTGTCCTGGGTCTGTGTTCCTTTCTCTGAGCTCTGTGATTTTCACTCTGGAGCCGAGAAGTACTGACATGTTCATGCGTAGTACGTGCACACATCAGTAACTCGTTGCTTGGTGTCCATCCTTCTCTTGACCAGGAAAAAAGGTTTGTCGTGTTGTGTTTACAGGTGGGCTGAGTTTTCTGCGAGGGGCGGAGCTTCAGAGGGAGGTGGAGAGGCTCTGTTACCGGGAGCGACGAACCTTCTGTATCCAGGCAACCGTTGTCATGGTTACGTACAGCCACAGAGGGGAGGTGACTGCCGAACACCTGCACAGACACCGTTACATAAAGTTGTATATAGAAGTGTATGTTTTCCTGTTTGTGCGGCAGCCACAGCCTGTGGTCACAACGAGAAGGAAAATATTTAAACGTGTACCTGTATGCACACAGTGTGCACATGGTACGTGCACGTGCATACCTGCTGACAGCACAGTGTTGCTTCCGTCTGATCTGTTTTATCTCATTAACATCCGTTTCCCATGTCAATTATTCCCACAGGATTCACATTAATCAAACCTTTTAAAACAAACCGACAAGGTTTTATGAAAGAACGCTCAGTACGGCAGGCGTGGGGTTGGTCTCTCTCTCTGATTGGCTGTTCCTTCTCTGATCAGTCATGTGACCAGAGGACCAGCAAGAAGAAAACCAGGTGCTGAGTGGAGGTAGACTCATGCCCCCCCCTTGTCCTCTCTGTCCTCAGGAGGATCGCTGTTTGTTCTGGACAGACCGAGCTTCATCTTCATTCTCCTCATCCTCCCCTCACCTGTCTCCCTCCTTCTCCAGCTCTGTCCTCCCTCTCCCCTCCACCCCTCGTTTGTTCAGACCCCCTCCCACCTCCTCGTCTTCCTCTCCAGCCTCGCCGTCTTCGGCTGTCAGTCGACTGACACCTCGCCCTCTTCGCCACAGAGCAAGGTGAGACACTGACGACACGATTTCACTGTCGACTCTGTGAGTGAACTCTGGATGTCCAGTCAGACTGTGTGTTTCCGCAGGAGGCTGTGTAAGAGGAAGCAGCTGCTGCAGGCTGAGACGCCAAAGAGGTGACGTGTAGTGACCGGTCGCCGTTAAGTGGTGTCAGTTTGTCGGTGTTGCATGTTATGTTGTTTGTGTAGATGGATGAACAACACATCTAACTGTGGATCAGAGCAGACCACCGCATGCTGAACCTGTTTTATACACCCTAACCCTACACCCTTCAGATCCAAACAGCACATCCACCTAAACATAAATCAGTAAGCAGGTTTTAGTCAGAGAGCAACTTTCAGAACCAGGGTTCAAAGTTCAGATACTTTATTCTTTGCTCAAGTTGCAGTTAAGGCAGCGTGTTTGGCCACAGAACATGTGTAATGTAGAATATTAGACATGAGATACACAGAGGTTGGTAGCCAACCGTGTCTGACCAAGTTATCGGTCGATACGCCGGGGGAAGGGAGGGTCTCAGCCAGGAAACGTGAAAACATGCAGCGACTGAAGTATAAGAAAACTTGGCTCGGTTCAGTCGTGGACACACAAATGTTTAGCTGAGCAGAAACGGAGGAACCAGCCAGAGCAAAGAAACATCTGGAGGACGCCGTTACCTGGGAGCTCACCTGGCCTCTGTGTGTCTGCAGGCGTCCACTGGTGGTGTTAGAACCGGAGCAGAGCAACACGACAGGTGAGAGGGTGTGTGTGTGTGTGTGTGTGTGTGTGTGTGTGTGTGTGGGTGTTGATACTAACGCTTGTTAATGATGGTAATACACTGGTTGGTAGAGATCCTGTTCAACGCCTCCATGGAGTTTTTAGAGAGCACAAACACTGAAGAAGAGGATGATGATGATGATGAAGACACCTCGTCCTTCGTCACCGCCCCGCTCCCTCCATCCTTCCCACACATCGCCAAGGAAACTCTGCCGATGCGTTATGACTATGCCCGCAGGGAGGAGCAGGTGGCCGCTGTGGCAATGGGAGGGAGGGCGACACCTGGGAGGTTTGACTCCGCCCCTGAGGACTATTACACACTGAGACTCAGAGGTACACACAGACACACACACAGGAGTCTTTTCATTGTAATCAGCTCACTCTAACTTGTCTCTGTCCTTGGACAGAAACCAGACTAATGCCTGTCTTCCCAGCGTCCAGCAGTGATGTAATTATTTCGTGGTTATCCAGTGGAGACACGTTTCTCCGTCAGGTCAGACGTCATGTCTGATGTTTTAAATTTGACTAAAACTGTTTCTCTTTAGCTCTGTCAGACGGTGTGTTGGTCGACGTCGTCTTCCTCCCCCACTCCTCTTCTCCTGTCCTCCCTCACCACAACACCTGGACCTCCATCTTATCACACGGAGCCTTCTCCTCACAGACTCCTCCCCCTGCCCCAGGTCAGTCCACTCACATGGCTTTGTGTAGCTGTGAGGACCCTCGTTACCACGATCATGTCCTCGGAGACTGTCCTCACAGTGCAGACAGTTGTTTATTTGTTTTTCTGAGTTCAGTTAGCTCTCCCTCTCTCTCTCTCTCTCTCAGCTGACCTCGTCGGCGTGGCGGCACAGCTGACCAATCAGAGGCTGGTGTGTGTGGTGGAGGCGTGTCACCTGGGCGGAGCCACAACAGAGCTCATCCTGAGCCGAGCGTTTCACCTGACCGACTGACACACATACACAGATGCCTGGTGGACGTTCATCATTTTAAACTTTACTTTGAATAATTTATGGTGTTTATTTTCAGTTGCAGTTGATTTAACGTGTGAGGATGCACAGTGATGCACTTTACTGGTTGTTGGGTCTGGGAGGTGTTTTTTAAGCTACATTTCAAGAGCGCACGTGACAAACGTGGCTGTTTGCTACAAGCAGCAGTTTGGATAACACTGTTATTATATCACAGCCAACAAATTACTGCAGTCGTGTCTAGTGTGTGTGCTGCCGTGTATTTGGAGCTGGTACCAGTAAAACCATTAAAGCAGGACAAACGTGTGGACGAAGACAAGTGGTCTTCAGTGGCACGGGGACGACTTTGTCTACTGCCTATTTACTGTTCACTGGGTACAGAACTAGTTACTGTCATTAGAGCAGCTTCTGTGTCTTTAAGTCTCAAAATATCATATTAATGGTTACCGAGCTTAGGATGACGATAATACTGGACAAATGATAAACGTTCTTCCACATTTCAAGTGTGAAAAGGAGGAAGACACAAAATACAAACGTCTCCCCACCTGTAGTTCTTCCACTAACCCTCTTTCTGGGAGTTGTAGGATCATAGAAGTTTACATTCCACTGTTGACGTTAAAGAATCTGAGGTGTTTCATCAAACTCCCGACTGTTTACGTTTAGACCAACAAAGACAAGAAGTGGTTTTCATATTTTATGACCTGAGTTTGTGGAGAATGATAAAATAATGCATTTCACATAAAGTCTGATTTAAAGCAAGCTGAGTAAATAAGATGAAACATCCACCTAAGTATTTTACCAACTGTTTGGTCCAGGCTTTCTAAATCACCCTTGTGTCTGTTTCACAAGTTGTTGTTTGTTGTTTGTTCTGTAAAAAAGTATTCAATGTCATTTTATTACCAGAACAGAATCTGTGCTCCCCGGTATTCTGAGGCACATTTCTGTCAATGTTTCTGAAGAGGTTTACTGTGCTTTGGTCTCATTTCCAGCTTTCTCAACGCTGCTGTCTTATTTTGGAAAGGCCTTGTAGCTCCACTCTCAGTTGTTTCTAATGATTCACGGCTCAGTTTTGACCTTCTCTGTTCAGTTTTTGGAGAGAGAGGAGTTTTTATTTTACAACATTCAGTCTAATAAAGTCTGACCTCACGTTTTCTACTGCCGTATTGTCCCACTGCTGTTCTCGACTCCAGAAATGTTCTGTTTGTGCTGCAGACAGCTGCCAACACACAGGGAAACAAGTCATCTTGAAAGATTAGGATACTGTTCATTTTCTTAATTGTTCATCTTACAACACTTTCTGATTTCTCTACTTATAATAAAAATCTTTAAAACATCTCACAAACACATAATTTTTGCTTTAAAAAGTCTCAGTAGTGTCCTGAAACAGCTACTCACTGTAGTATTTATCAAACTGGAGGAAAGGGTGATGTGCTGGGGACTATTTTCAGCAGCGGATGAATCCACATCTGGTCTCTAGTGAGTATCAGCAGCAGGACGGTGTGTGGGACAGAGTCGGAGTAAACTCCAATGTGTGTTCCAGGACCATGTGTGGGACCGAGTCGGAGTAAACTCCAATGTGTGTTCATGCTGGTGGAGGGACAGCCAGTGCAGTGGTGTGGTCACTGAGGGGTTAATGTGTGTGGACACAGTGGAGCTCTGTGTCCAGAGGAAGGAGACACATTAGCTGTGACACCCTCACAGGACTGTTAGTGGGAGACATTCAGCGTTAGCTTTGGTCTGTACGTTGAATTTATTAACACCAAGATAAATATGAGACTGAGCAGCTCTGATGTGGACACCACAGAAACAAACATCTACTCTGAGATCAGACTCTACAGATGTTTGGCGTTCTGCACTGGGCAGTCTGGCCAGAGGTGGCGCTGTTCAGCTGCGCTGGCTGTGTCTCTGGCAGATGTAGCGCATCCTGGTGGAGCAGTGCAGGTCATTGAGGTGTCCGTCATAGTGAAGATGAGCACAGTCTTCATCTCCAGGACCGAGACCGTGACCGGTCCAGCTGTCGGGCTGACCGGGTCTCCACCGCCTGGAGACCACACAAACACACAAGTAAAACATAAACAGCACTGTCCTGATAAATCCTGCTTTTCCAAAATGTCCACGTCCTGTAAACATGTAGCCACAGTCCAACAGTGTGAAGGAGGAACTCTCCGGTTCCTTAACTAAAATAAAACTAACATTACAGTTCTGAACTGAAAATGTGAGAGCGTGAAGGTCCCAGCACAAATCTTTGATGAGGATTCTGTCCTGTGACTGTTAGATTTAATTAACAACACTGTAACTGATGCATTTAAGCATGTTCACATGAGGAAAAGCAGCTGGAGCCATGAAGTGACCTGTGTCGTTTTATTGCATCTAGACCAGGTAGAGTGGCCTGGACCATGTTGTGCTGATGTAACTGTTTACCATGTCTACAAAGCAGAAGTTAAAACCTGCCAGACTTAGAAACCCCTGCTGCGAGGAGCGTTGACATTAGTGCAGCCTGTTTGTTGCTAATGATCCTTCAGACTGGACTTCCCTGTCCTCATTCATCTTCATTTTTGGCACTCAGTGTTTCTCCACATGCACATTGTTGTCCTGGCTAAACAAAACAAATCAACCAACCATTGGAGGAGAGAAAATGACTCATTTCACACAGCTGAGAGCGGAACTGCCCACCTTCGGTTCATGACGTACGGCGTCTGGTTGACCCACTCCCATTTCCCTGTTCTCTCATCACTCAAACCCACCCAGTGGAAGGTGCCCATGGCATGATGGACCACGAAGTCCTGAACCAGAGGCACAGACAGAGTCAAGCATGTGCAGCTGACTTAGGTCAAACTCCTAAACTGTTCATGAAGGTGTCCCACCAGGATCACTGCTGGGTCCTCTGCTACGCTAACATTCCTGTTCCAACAGCAATATTATGTTTGTTTTTATGCAGATGACATCATTTGGTATGTAATCAGCTCTGCTACAGAGCAGTGCTCCTCCAGGTTACTGTCTACCTTCACTGGCCTCATTTATAAATTTAAAACTAGTCTCTCAGGAAACCAGCCAGTAGTCAAACTCTGTAGTGAAGCAGCATCAGTACGACCAGCAGAGACGGACAGACAGGCTGTCTCACCCACTCCTCGTCAGTGTTGAGTATGACCAGGTGAGATTCGTGGCCGTTGCACCAGTCTCTGGCGTCCTGCCAAGCCAAAGGCGTCTTGCTGAATAAGTAACAGCTGGAGCTGAAAAGATCCCAACCCAGAGGACAACAGCCGTCTGCCGCTGAACCTGAGAGACAGACGGGTCAGCACACACACAGAGAGACAGGTCTACGGTTATGACTTTGTCTTCTTACTTCAGCCCATGTTAAGACCAATATCGCATTCAGACCTCAGAGTGAGGACTTGTTAGGGAAGTGGGGACATTTGGAATTGGAACTGGGATTAAATTGAGTTTCACTGTGAAGCAGACTGGGATTGTGTGTTCAGTGTGTGACTGTACCATTGTTGATGAGGCGTTCGAGGGAACATTTGAGAGTAGCCACTGTCCTGCTGAGAGTGTCCAGAACTGAGAGCTGCTTCAGTGCCTCTGATACTGGTCGGACACACACGGGCAGCACAGGTACACACAGTGTCAGTGTGGTACAGCTGTCATTAATAGTGCTGGGGGAGGGGCCACCGCTGTGCGGTGTGTGTTGTACCTGAGGTCAGCTGGTCCCTGTTGCTCTCCACAGCAAACTTCATCCGGCGAACGTCCATGGCTGCATCTGAGACAAAGAACCAGGAGGCTGTTTGGAAGGAGGAGCTGACAGTAGCTACCATGTCTCACACCGTGTCCACTGACCAGAAGAACCACGGCAGGTGTGTTACCTTTGGTGAGCTGCTGGGCAGTGCTCAGTGAGTCAGTCAGGTTGGAAACACCTTTCTCCACAGACCACAATCTGTTCGACGTTTTCATGTCTACACACACACACACAGATAAATATACTGTATGTACATGCAGGATTTCCTGTGGAGGAGGTTTGTGTGTTTGTGTGTGAGGGTTGAAGTTTTGTCTGTTTTTAAAATCACTAACCAGAAAAATTTCCAGGTTTGATTTTAAAACAGAACTGCAGCTAATTAACCATAAGATGATGTTTATCCAGATGTTGTGAGGTTACTCCTCAGTGTCTGAAGTAGCAACATTTCCTCTCTGATTGGAGGATGGAGCCTCCGCCCTGCGACACATTAAGTGACCCTGCCTGTAAACTGACGTTTTATGAAGAATAGCAACAGAGGAAGTGACTGCTGCAGCTAAAGGAGCTGATCCAGTTCCAGTGCAGTCTACAGCCATACACGGGGGTCTATATCGTGGTCTGTATGCTAACACCAGCATGCTAACGTCCTGATATTACCTGGTATGAGGTTGACCGCTTAGTTTAGCATGTTAACATTTGCTAATGAAAGTACAACTGAGGCTGATGGGAGTGGCGTTTATTTTTCATGTTTTTGATCACAAACCAACATATTATGACAAAATAAAATGTTGATTTGATGACGGAGGTGGATGAAAAGTCACAGGATCACAGACAACAGAAGGATTCATCCTCTGGTGACCATGAATGTTGGTACAAACTGCATTCTGCGTGTGAGCATTCATCAAATTGATGGCATGAAATTTCAGTCTGGACCACGTTCCCATCCACCCGGCCATGATGGCCCAGTTTTTTTTAACAGAATTAAATTTTGGCAAGAATTTCCAAGAAACACCAGGATCTCAGTTCCCAGTGTTTGGTCCCTAGTTTGTTTGTTTGTTTGTGTGTGTGTGTGTGTGTGTGTGTGTGTGTGTGTGTGTGTGCGCTCACTGCTGGCTCCCAGTGCTATGATCAGAACCAGAATAACTGCAGCTGTCAAAGCAGGAAACAGCCAATGTCTGAACCTGGAGACACCTGAGAAAGAAACAGGTGGAGGCTCTGATGGAGGGACAGGGAGACAGACAGAGGGACAGGGAGACAGACAGACAGGAGGTGACTTTTTCATTTTACAGTGAGTGAAATAAGTACAAATAAATCAATACAACTAAGTTCACAAAACTCGGTTTCCTGTCAATTCAGCCACGTGTGCAGACAGAGACAGACTGGGGACAGACAGGTGGACAGAGAGAGACCGGTACCTTTGTTCCAGAAGGAGCTGCTGTCGTCTTCAACGTCATCATGGTATTCAGTCGTCATGGCAATGTCTCTTCGTCCCCCTGTTCCTTTACTCGGTGCGTCTCTCTTCTTCCTCACAATGAAGGCTGACTGTCCAAACGCTGAGCCGAGGGTCAGTGGCCACAGAGTGAACTTTGAACTGGAAAACACGGCGTGTGTGTAGTGAAGCTCGGCTGGTGTCCCTCTGTTAGTCCACACCCACTAACCACATTTGACCTGGTTCAAACAGCTCAAACGCTACAATGTGTGGGATCTGTGGACATTTGTATATGTGTGTGTATTAGCTGAGGCTGGAGGGCTAAAAACTGCCGCAGCCAACGGAGGTTAGAGGTCAAACTGAAGGTAAAGATGTGCTGAAGTTTGATTATTACTGAAACGAGCAGCACAGTGGCCAGTGGGGCAGCAGGACCCCCAGACTTTAGCAGACAGAACACCTGAAAACCACACTGCTGCGTCTCCTCGTGGTGGTGGTTGTCTTTGCCTCTTCATACTGAGTCATGAGCACTTTGAACTGCCTTTGTGTATGAAGCCATGCTATAGAAACCTGCCTCGCCCCAACACCTAACCCTGGGCCTGTTCATGAAGCCGTCCGTGGCTAACGGGGTTTGACGTGTGCAGGAGAAGCTCAAAGTGTAAAGCACTAAAGGAGGAATTAAAGTGAATGCAGTGGAGGGAACAGGAAGTGGCAGCTGAAGAAGCGTAAGCAGAGAAAGGGAGTGTCCGTGAGGTCAAGAGATGACTTCCTGCTTTTAGCTCCTCCATGGCTGTTTGACATGACCGCTGGTGGCGGGAAAAACCCTTCTTCTAACCTTGGCTCAGCGGAAGGCGGGGCTGATTTACAGACCACACTCTAACAGCACAACAACAGAGAAGCTGGAATAACAACAGGAGGCTGTAGGCAGCAGAGGGTCATGGAGGGATGTGTACCTGAGAGACACCACGTCCTGTCCCACTGTCAGACACTGTGGGAAAATCAGTCAGTGCAGCTTTAAGTTGAAGTAAAAGCAACTTGTTGAAGTGTGGAGTGTAAGCACAGAGTATAAATCACGAAAAGGACTGAAACACTTGGCGTGTACGGACAAAGTCACTTGGAGTGAAAGTAACAAAGGTACTCTGCTTCTTTTGTTCACATCAGACATTTATTGTAATCAGAACAAGCAGCGGTTTGGACCAATGTTGGACCAAAGTATTGTACACCGTGTTATTGTCGTCTGGATTTGACTGATGGTTCCTGTCAGGGCTGAAAACTGGAGGGAGAGCTGCTAGCTGCTGCTAGTCAGAGGTGTCTATATCAGTTTGTGGTGCTCTGCTTAAGAGAAGCAGGTAGACGGAGGGTGGGCGGAGCCAGGAGGGCGTGGCAGGTCCGTTTAATCTGTCAGGCTGTGTTTCTGGCAGATGTACTGCATGCTGGTGGAGCAGTGGAGATCGTTGAGGCGCCCGTCCTTGTAAAGGTGAGCACAGTCTTCGTCTCCAGGACCGAGACCGTGACCTGACCAGTTGTCAGGCTGACCGGGTCTCCACCGCCTGGACATCACAATCACACAAACACAACACTGTTGCAACGCTGTGTTTGTGCCCTACCCATAAAACCTGTGACTTATTTATTCAGTTATTTTCCTTCCTAGAGGTTGACCCCTGAACAAAGCACAGTAATGTGTGTGTTCTCAGTTTGTGTCAGAATGTGCATGATTTGAATGTTTTTTTTCCCTTATTGTCTGTAAAAGTCAAACTTCAGTCATAAAAAGCAAAGACACCTGACATCCATCATCGAATGGATGATGGATGTCAGGTGTCCTTGTCCTAGTGTGTTGCTGTGATGTAAATGTGGAGTATTTTCAGGACCAGGTCTGCAGAGAACTGTCTCATGCTGTGAAGCCTCACTGGTCCGTCTCCCCATCGCTGCCATCCAGCACATACAGTTTGAATGCAGTATAACCGCCAACAACAGTGGACCACAAAGTTCAAACTGGCAGCTAACAACAAACGTGTTAACTGGTTTTACAGCAGCCGTCACCTGCGCTCCATGACGTACGGAGTCTGGTTCACCCACTCCCACTTCCCAGTCCTCCCATCAGTCAGACCGATCCAGAATGTCTGAGAAACTGTACGATGGGTCACAAAGTCCTGGACAGACAGACAGATGGACAGAGAAACAAACAGATGGACAGCACGGTGTTCTGTGACTCTGTGGCGCTGCAGCTTTTTTCTCTGTTCAAATAATCAACTACAATGATTAATGTATGTTCCATCTCCTGTTTCAGTGGTGTAGCGTAGGACAACAGCTGAGACAGACAGAGAGAGACAGACAGATGGACAGAGAGACAGACAGGCAGACTGAGAGACAGAGAGGCAGACAAAGAGACAGACAGAGAAACAGACAGATGGACAGAGAGACAGAGAGAGAGACAGACAGGCAGATTGAGAGACAGAGAGGCAGACAAAGAGACAGACAGAGAAACAGACAGACGAACAGAGAGACAGACATAGAAACAGACAGCAAGAGATAGATGGACAGAGAGACAGACAGAGAAACAGACAAAGAGACAGACAGACAGAGACACACAGACAGACAGAGAAACAGACTGAGAGACAGACAGAGAGGCAGACAAAGAGACAGACAGACAGAGAGACAGAGAAATGACAAAGAGGCAGACAAAGAGACAGACAGACAAAGAAACAGACAGACTGAGAGACAGAGAGATGACAAAGAGGCAGACAAACAGAGACAGACAGATAGAAAGAGACACGCAGACAGACAGTCAGACAGAGAGACAAACATAGAAACAGACAGAGAGACAGAGAGATGACAAAGAGGCAGACAAAGAGACAGACGGACAGGTCCACAGACATACAGAGAAACATACTGAGAGACAGAGAGACAGACAGACAGAGAGATGACAAAGAGGCAGACAAAGAGACAGACGGACAGAGAGACAGACATAGAAACAGACAGAGAGACAGACACAGACAGACAGACTGAGAGACAGAGAGGCAGACAAAGAGACAGACAGACAGAGAGATGACAAAGAGGCAGACAAAGAGACAGACGGACAGAGAGACAAACATAGAAACAGACAGAGAGACAGAGAGGCAGACAAAGAGACAGACGGACAGAGAGACACACATAGAAACAGACAGAGGGACAGGGAGGGCGAGGAAAGGAGAGAAACAGACAGATGGACAGAGAGACAGACAGACAGACTGAGAGACAGAGAGGCAGACAAAGAGACAGACAGAGAAACAGACAGATGGACAGAGAGACAGACTGAGAGACAGAGAGATGACAAAGAGGCAGACAAACAGAGACAGACAGATAGAAAGAGACACGCAGACAGACAGTCAGACAGACAGACAAACAGACAGAGATGGACCGAGAGACTGTCAGAGCGTCTCACCCACTCCGCGTCAGTGCTGAGTACGACCAGGTGGGACCCCTGTTTCTCACACCAGTCCCTGGACTCCTCCCAGGACAGAGACACTTTGCTGAAGAAGTAGCAGCTGGAGCTGAACAGATCCCAGTCCATAGGACAACACCCGGCCGCTGCCGAACCTGAGAGACAGACAGGTGCACAGGTGTGAGCACCTGTCTGGCTGTAAGTGAGCATTGAATCACGTGACTTCGTGTGTGTGCGTGTACTGTTGTTGATGATGTGTTCCAGGGAACATTTCAGTGCAGCGACGCTCCGGCTGAGGGCGTCCAAGGCCGACAGCTGCTTCAGCGCCTCCACCACTGAGACATACAGGTAAATACAGGTAAATACAGGTAAATAAGAGTCTGTGCTAAACAGAATGCAGACGAGACGTATGGAATGAAGTTAGCTAACATTTAAAATACAGCCTGTGATATACAACGTAATAAACTATCAAGTTAAAGGAGATGGAGCAGAACAACATGTAGCAGCTGGACTCTGTAGTGGAACTTAAATGATGCTCCAACACTTTTGTAAGTATCCTACTGGTACCCACAGGACAGTACTGGGAAATAAAGTGTAGTGGAGCTGGGAGAACAGCCCACAGACCTGAGGTCAGCTGGTCCTTGTTGTTCTGCACAGCAAGCTGCAGCTGCTGGACATCTTCAGCTGTTTCTGAAACAGAAGGAGCCTGTTAGCAGCGTGGACCGGCAGCGACGACCAGTCCCACATAGGATTTGGTTCCAACCTCCGTGTCCCCCTCAGGATGAGATCTGGTAACTTCACTGAATGGACTGGTGTCCAGCTTGTCCCGTACCTGACAACCGAGAGTCTGTATACCTTCAGCCTGCTGCAGGGAGGCGTTCAGTGACTGGATGGCGTCGTTGAGGCTGGAAACACTCTGCTCCACTGTCATCAGATGTTTGGATGCTTTTGTGTCTGATCACACACAGACGGCAGAAACTACAGGTTTGAATGTAGGAAACCTTAAAACTTCACGACTGTTTGGGATTATTACTCCCCAAACAGAAACAAATAAGAGTAAGGATCAAATTCTTTAATCTGAGTTTGGGGAGCTAAAGCTAGCTTGGTTTTAGTTTATTTGTGTTACTTTAAAGCAGCTAGAATTAAAGCTTTAAAAATAAAACATGATTTTTCACTTATGAAGACTTAAAGGTGATTTTTTATTTTGTAATGCTGTTATCATGCTCCAGTCCTGCCCCTGCCTCATAGCTTCCTCATTGTGGACTCCACCTGTTCCCCTTTTCCTGCCTGTTTTCCACCCAGCAGGCGGCTCTTTAGATGGAGCTCAGCGCTGATTCACCATCAGACCGACTTCACAGGGTTAGGTATTAGGGTTGGTGCTCATCCTGCACCACGAACTCTGGTCCTGTGGTCAGTGCCTGGACTCTCACCGCTCAGGTTCTGCTCTAAGCTCCATGTCTCGTCATGTTCCAGCTGTTCACTGCCAGCTGTGACTGAAGACGCTGTCTGCACTTCATCTGCTGTTTGTCTGGCAGTTTTCTTTTGTGTTGGTTTTGTCCGTCACCTTTTCTTGCTTTGCATTAGAGTTAGAACATTTTGTGCTACTGAGGAAGTTTCCATTACTGTTGGTAAAGACTCCGTGTCCCCAGAGGTTCTTTATAAAGAACACTGTGCTGGTGCTTCCTTCTGTTTCTCTGCACATAAATATCTTAACCTACCTGGAGGCTGTTGCTTGGTGTTTGCTATGGAGCCCAGTCATTACCTGACCATGTATGTCCTAACACTGATAAATGTGTCCTCACAAGCTCCCAGAACAACGTAGACCCCACAACGGACAGAAACAGGAATGTGTGTGCTCACAGCTGACTCCCAGTGCAATGATGAGAACCAGGACCGCTGCAGCTGTCAGAGCAGGAAACAACCAGCGTTTAAGCCTGGAGACACCTGAGGCAGGTGGACGCCCTGACAGAGGGACAGACAGGTGGAGAGACACCACTTCACCAGAGTCAGGACCAACACCGGGGTCAAAGCAGTATTACTGTGTAAAGACTACATCCACAACTCAAACACAGACAGATACCTTCGACCCAGAGGGCGCTGCTGTCCTGCTCACTGCAAACACAGACAGATACCTTCGATCCAGAGGGCGCTGCTGTCCTGCTCACTGTCGTCCCGGTAGTCTGGCATCATGTGGACGTCTCTCTGTGTGTTGTCTTTTAAGATGGACACAGGGAGTCTAACAGTCCGCACTCAGTCAGGGCCTGGTCTGAACAAGCTTAGGTCAGTGGTGGAGTGTAACATCTACTGCTTTGCGTAGGTAAACGATGGTCAAGGGGTTTGTTGGGTTTCCTTCTATAATAACAGTGAGGTCTAGACCTGGGTCTTAAAGTGTCCTGAGTCGGATTTGGTGCTATACAAATAAAACTGATGTGAAGTGAATTACTACTGGTACTTTCTGCTTCTTGAAAAATACAGTACTTTTTACTTCATTTATCTGTTCACCTTATAAACAATACAAGGACCTCATAATGTTTGTTTTCTAGTGTTAATTCAGTGAACATGGAACATAGGAAGCTTCTTGAAAAATACAGTACTTTTTACTTCATTTATCTGTTCACCTTATAAACAATACAAGGACCTCATAATTGTTTTCTAGTGACTCAGTTTAATTCAGTGAACATGGAACATAGGAACCTTTACAACTGTTCTGGTTTTTCTAGGCTGCTACACTTGTTACACCTGTTTGATTCATGTAGCAGCGTTTCCAAGCTTTAACCTAATAGGATTTTAAAATAATTATAACCGTTAGTGTCTGTGTATGAATCCAAAAGTGCTGATCCAACAGAGTCTGTTTACAAAATAAAGAAGCCAGGCTTCTCTTAAAACTACCTGTACAAGTGGCGTGACGACAACAGTTAAAACACAGTCATGGTAAAGAAATAAAGAAAAGCTTTGTCACCTTGTTAAGTCTCTGCAGAAACAGCTGAGGAGGAGACAACACGAACCAACTGGTTGTTTTCTGTCAAACTACAGAAACACGAAGCTCTCTGGTTTATTAAAGTTTACGTCTCCTCCCTTCTTCACACCAACCAACCCACTGTAAAGAAAATGTCCAGTCATCAATTAAAAATTACATCTGGATCCAGTTTAGCATTTCATAACGACGGTGACATTTCTGCTGCAGAGACATTGGTTCTCTTTCCAGTGAATCATGTGGATTCACAGGAAAAAAAAACTTCCCTTTTATTTTATTTTGACACATTTTCCGGAAGAGAAACTTCTCCAGAGTCATTGCTTCCCTAAATGAACCCATGTGCACAGGAAGACTCAAAGTGGATTCTTTGGAAATTCAAATCCAGGGGTCTTAACCTTTAACATGGGTTAACTGTCAGTGCACTCGAGACAACAGTCCGGTTTCTATCCACAACTTGTACACGTGTCAAACTAAATATCAGTTCGATGTTTGTTGTGTGTTTGTGCTGGAAACAGGTGGATTTGGAGGTTTAAAGATTTAAAATAAAATTTTGCAAGTGAAGTCAGCCTAAAGATTATTTTCTATACTCTGAGATCCTGGAGTGGACTGAATGAGTCGGCCTCCTCGTTAACGTTCATACACTGGTTATGATCCTCGCAGGCTGCCGTACAGGGGCAGACATACGAGCCTACGATACGAGTGCAGCAGGTGACAAACTGATCTTTAATGTCTTTCTGTGGTGGAGGTCAGCCCTCTGTCAGGTCGTCATTGAAGTGGAGGAGGATGGCGGGGGTGAAGAGGTCTCGGTCCAGTCGCAGCTCCTCGAGCTCGTGGTCGTCATCGGGGACGTTGTTCTCGCTGAGCGTCATGCTCATGTCCAGGCTCACTCCGTCATGTTTCCAGGTGTAGCTGCAGGCGTGAGAGTTGTAGCACAGGTAGCGCTGGCGGATCTCAGCCAGAGTCTCCTCTGAACACACCTGAGCAACAGGGCAAGAAAACCAGGTTTTTGAGAGGATTTTTGTTGACGCCATTACCCAGAGTGCACCTGGAGTAAACAGTTCACCTGCAGTCGCTGCTCCTGAGAGGTCAGTGTGTTGATGACCCGTATCCACCTGGTCTTAGCGGACAGCAGCCCCACCTCGTAGCGTTTATCCCTCCACCAGGGCTGGATGAAGTCGTTGGCCCAGTCGGAGCGAGGCCCAGCAGGAGGGACGTGCACAAAGCGCCCCCTGGGGGTGTAGTACCTCACACAGTTAGTCACTGGGTCCACATATGTCAGGACCTGAAGACAGAGGACGGAGACATGCAGGTAAATCCAGTCCTGCGAAGTAACTGGATAAGTACATTTACTAAGGTATGATTTTGAAGTACTTGCTGTTTATTGAGTATTTCCATTTGATGCTACTCCAGTTCACTTCAAAGGGAAATGTTTTTACTGCACAACATTTATTTATTTATTCTTTATTTCCAGGAAACACTTCACATAAAAATACATGAAAAGTTGTAAAATATACATATTTCATAAAAAAACTCAGAGAGAGAAGTCAGAAATGGAACGACTGAATCAGAAAACGGTTTTCTTCCTTCTTCTCCCATTAATCATCTGATAGTCCCTCAGATTTATCTGGTGACCCTTTGGAGGGGCCCAACCCCTAGTTTGGGAACCACTGCACTAAACTAGCCGTTCCACCTGGAGCAACAAAATGCTGCCGAGGCTTTAACTCAGGATCAATCATCCTGGTATTGATCACAGTACAGCCAGTACTTTTACTGCAGATGACACTTTCTGAATGCAGGACTTTTACTTGTGATGGCGTTTTCAGACTGTAGCAGCACTTTCACTACAGGATGTGGGTGCTAGTGTGTAAACAGGGAGTGGAACTGAGATCTGCTCCCAGTTTCAGTTCTCACGTCTGTGGTGTCAGCGTCGAACCAGGAGCTGATGTCCTTCCCTGCACACTCCATGATGGGTAACAGCAGAGCGTCACCTGCAGAGAGAAACAGTCACATCCTGTAGTCGAGGAAAAGGACAAACCCCCATGTTAAATACCACATCAACTGCAAACTGTGCTTAAAGTATAAAAGGTAGAGCTGACTCTGCAGCATCTTGGTGTTTCCTTGTCATTAGAATAACTCTGCAGCGTCTTGGTGTTTCCTTGTCATTAGAATAAAACAAAAAAGAAACTAGATTTACAGGATTATCTTGCATCATTGTGACAGAGTACAGGTTCATGTATTAATTCACTGGATTGGACTGGAAATGACTCGCTGACCTATAAGGATTCAACTCGTTTTTGGATGAATGTGGTTCAGTAAATAGAAGCTACAGTGTTTCCCTTATTCTGCTACAGTTGGAGAGTTTCATTAATCATGTTCATTTCTTTTTATATTAATTTTTGTAGGAGAAACCTGAATTTTAAAGGTAAAGCAACACGGTGTAGTAAAACGTTCAGTATTTCCCTTTGAACTGAGGTAGAAACAGTCAGAGTAGACTATATGATGGACCTGTTAAATAGAAACAGTGGACCTGAGTAAATGTCCCGGGTTTTCTCCGACCTGAACCCGAGGGTCTGGAGCGGGTTGGCCCACGTCTCACCTTTGTTCTGGCTCATCAGGGGGGTCAGGTCGCACACTCTGCCCAGAAACGACACCCACAGGTCGTCGGCGGTGTTGTGCGCGGCCACCTCCGCGGGAGTGAAGTACCTCTGTCTGCTCATCACGCACAGACACGTACCGCGTGTTAAAACACACAAATAACCCGGTTTAGTCGGTTTTAACGCCGCCAAACGAGCTCGTTTCACTCCGGTCTGTCACTGCGTCGTTGTCACGTTACCCTGGCAACGAGGGGTCCGGGGGCGGGGCCGATTACGTCAAATACAAATAAAAATAAACTCAGTTTATGATAATTTGTGTATATTTTGATTAGGAATTGGCCTGCTGACTTTTTATTTTTTACAGATTTTATAGCTAAAGAACATTCGCATATATTGAAACTACTATACTGACTTTAATTATATCTATGTAATGTAATTCATAAGGTATTAGACAGTTTATGACTTTACTGCAGTAAGGCACAGTTCTGTAGTGTCATGCACATTAATCTTATGTTGTGGTGGGTAGAGTAGTCGTCCCCCAGTCTCGGTACCTCTAGTCCACATGTCAAAATGTCCTTGGGTAAGACACTGAACCCCCTCCCTCTTTGCGGCCCGGGGCCCTCGGCTCCAAACATAATTTCGTTGTACATGTTACAATGACAATAAATAAAGCTTCTTATTCAGTCTCAGTTCCCTTTCTTTTCCGTAACGGTACTGATGCCATTTGTTTGACAGTCATTATTCATAACACAAAGATGGAAAACCACTTTACTCTGGCTGCTATAAAAACAGAAGAGGCCTCATGAACTGTAGGTGGCACAGTCTTGGGCTGAATAAGTGTTTATTTGCAGAATTAAGATAAAGTGCTACCGCAGTCTGCGGACACAGAAAAGTAGCATTTTCAAAGTCTGGGACTTAAGAAGTGCAGTAACACAATAACAGTGTCTCGAGTATTAAATTGAAAACACAGGATTAGAATCTGTTACCTCTCTGAAACTGACAGACCTTTGTCACATACTGATTTGTGGTTTATTTGCATATGTACATACAACAGTAAAATGCAAAATGTATTACTTGACAAACATTGAACACAAGTTCACAATGTTGTTTCAGATAGGCCTACACAGTATTGTCTGTCAAAGTACTGATTTATCCAGCTGCAGCAGTTAACTCATAGTACTAATGATGCAAACTTTTAAAACTGCAGGTAAAAACACACTTATCCAGGCTCTTTTGAGGGCCCTGGTACTTAGTTAAACCATTCCCATCCTGTCTACAATAATAATAATACTAGTAATAAAAGACAAATGTTTAGCCACACACACACCATATAACTATTCATAAGCTTAAAGATTTTTTATTTATATATCATATCATATCTCTCTCTCTGTGTATACAGTCTCTATGTCTCTCTTCCTTTCTCTCTGGAATGTATCAGACGTGGCAAAGATTCACTTTCTTCCCTTTTCACGAACTTTCTGCAGCGTAGGGCCACGATAAAACCGCTTCCCACTCATTTCCATTTGTCCTTCTCTGATTGGTTCGTGTGGATCCACTTCGCCACGCTGATTGTTCCGTTATCCCGTCAATCGTTCCTATATCTCTTTTCATTGGCTGATACGCGAAAAACGAGCGGGCTAGTTTCTTCACAGGCTTTCAATTGATATATTTGTGAAAACTGGGAATTAGGAGTATCGCGAGAGTTGAGTGTTTTTCGGGAGTCAGAGAATCTGAGGGAGAGAAACGGAGGAAGACAGCGGCAGTTTAAAGTCTGAACGGAACTGCTAACGGTTTAATAAGGCAGCCATGACTTCCCATCGTCTTCTTTGTCTGCTGGTTCTCGCCTTCTCTCACGGCTCCCCGCGGGGCCCAAACCGGTGGTCCCTCTC